ATTAAACAAGCTCTGTCGCAAGCTCCTGCCCTAGGCCTTCCCGATTATACTAAACCCTTTGTTCTTTTTTGTCATAAAAAAAAAGAATTTTCACTTGCTGTGCTCAGTCAAGCACATGGAGACAAGCACCATCCCATTGCTTATTATAGCTCTGCTCTTGACCCAGTTGCAGCCGGACTTCCTCCATGTCTTCGTGCTGTAGCTGCAGCTGCTATTACTGTTGAACTGTCCTGTACCCTTGTATTAGGTTCTCCCCTTACTGTTGGTGTCCCACACGCTGTTGCCGCCCTTTTACTAAAAACTAAAACTCAACACCTTTCAAATGCCAGATTGACTAAGTATGAAATTTTGCTTCTTTCTGCTGGAAATATTACTTTAACTAGATGCCCTGTTTTAAACCCTGCCTCCCTGTTGCCTACTCCTTCAGATGGTGAACCCCATGATTGTATTGCTGTTACTGCCCACCTAACAATGCCCCGCACTGATCAAAAGGACACCCCTTTGCAAAACCCAAATCTAGTATTTTATGTTGATGGATCATGTCAAAGAAACTCAAAAGGTTCTCTTGATGCAGGATATGCAGTATGTTCCCAATATGATGTTATAGAAAGCCATCACTTGCCCAATGTGTTTTCAGCTCAAGTTGCTGAGCTTGTGGCCCTTACCAGGGCTTGCACCCTAGCCTCTGGTACCTCTGTTAATATTTACACTGATTCTTGCTATGCTTTTGGTATTGTACACGATTATGGTCAACTTTGGAAGCAAAGAGGCCTCCTCACATCAGGAGGTACCAAAATTAGTAATGGTCCATATGTAAATACCTTGTTAAATGTTTTACAGTTACCTTCTGCTGTTGCTATTACTAAATGCCAAGCTCACCAGAAACCTTATAATAATGTTACATGTGAGAATGCTCTGGCAGACTCTGCTGCCAAAGCTGCAGCTATTTCCACTCTTCAGGCTACACCTGTGTTTTTGTCTATCTCGACTAACCAGTCTCCACTGGCAAGTCTTCACGACGTTGCCCTCCTCCAAGATCAGACTCCGGAACCAGAAAAATATACATGCAGACTGGCTGGGTGTTTGTTACACCCTGACCATTTGTGGCGCTCCCTGGATGGCCGCCTGATTGCCCCAACCTTCCCTATCTTGCTCGCATACACCACGGCATAGCACACGTGAGCGAAGGGGGGATGATAGAAGCTGTTAAGCTTGATTGGTTTGCTCCAACTTTTCCATCTGTGGCTCAAGAATACTGTTATACCTGCCCTACTTGTCAAGCCCATAATGTGGGAAAGTCTGTAAAAACAAAAAAAGCAGCACATCCCCCTCCTTGGGGGCCGTTTGTAAATTTACAAATAGATTTTATTCAATGCAGAAGTGTTGTTCTTATGAATATGTTCTCGTTATTGTATGTGTGTTT